AATGAACGAAACTACATACTTGCCAACGCCATGTTTTTTAAGCTCCGCCCTTCAGCAGATTCCAATATGCGTACAATGGGTCGTAAATTAATCGTCATGCTATCAGTGGAACATATTGGTTTTGAAGACGATGTCTGATTTTTAGTGTTTGGTTTGATATACAGCCCCTTCTTCTTATTTCAGTTAATCTATTACAGGATATTCAGGTAACAAAAATTCGTGTAATACTTCTTCCATTCTTCCCTTCATACCTAGTTTTAATAAAACTGGCAACCAATAACAACAACATAGTCGTTGTTTCTTATGTAGCGCATGTGGAAGGAATCACATATTTCTTAAGATTTTCCTTTCAGCTCAAGGATTCCTTCAATATATCATCATCATCATAAGGTCGTCAGTCCTAAGACTGGTTAGACACTTACCTTCACTCATTCCTATCCTGAGGTAATCATTGCATTTCCCTAAAACTAGAACAGCCCACATCCTTAGCTATTTGCGAACAGTAATCTAACCTGGATCTACCTCTACCCCTCCTGTTTCTGCCTCTAATATGTCTTTGACTAGACCTTCATGTCTGAGAAGGTGTCCTACCAACCTGTCTCGCCTATTTTTTATTGACTTCCATAGAGTCCTCTGTTCTCCTATTCTTTCTAATACCTTTTCATTTCTAACCTTTTCACCCACGTTATCCTCATCATTCGCCTATAACACCACATTTCGAAAGCTTCAATACATAGATATATTAAAAATAATGTATGTTTAAAGAATTTCTATTAGAAAGAAGTTTTGTACCTTAAACAATTTGGATCAGTTCATTTCTGATGTATGAATGTATATAAATAAAAAAGGACGAAAGGGAATATTGTTATTTCCGTATTTGGTATAACCATTTAACGATAGAGTCTGTAGTGGCCATTAAGATAAAGTCCGCCCCAGTTCAAACAATAAAGAACCACTTTACAAATAGCTACATATGTGTAGTTGTAATATGTCAGGCATGTAAGGCAAAGTGAAACCTAATGGAAGTCTTATTAACGCAGAATATGGCGCGTCTTTGGAGATAAATCGCGTTGATTTTTGCCATTAGCGCGGCGGCGAGTGGCTCGCTGGCAAAGCGCGTGATTGTTTGCAGGTGCGAACGGTTGTTAGTCGCCTTCAAACACGGAATAAATTGCGATGATGGATTGCATTAGCGAAATTACTGTCGTGTAGGTAAATTGGATAATACAAGGAAGCGCTTGGCATTCGTCTAAGTGGAGCAAGTGCCGCGTTCTCTATGGCACTAACTTGCAACTTGCCGTATCGAATTGCCGAAGATCGACGATCCGTTTCTTACGTTCATAAGTAGACTTTAACAAGTACAACTACGATTGCAGTGACGATAAGCTGGTATATAAGTTAAATAAAAAAATAAATTTCAAAACTTACTGTAGTGGATTCATTTATTACGATCTTGGTTATAGCGACCATTTTGCTTTAGCGACGTTAAACCTTGAATTTTAAGAATACTTTAGTACAAAATTCATGTGGCTATAGCGACTTCGGATGTAACGGCGAGTTCGGGTGTAGTGACTGTTTTTTAATGAATAAGCTTTCTTATCTTTTGATAATATCCACACAGACAGTAAGCAAGTGTGGTGACCTTTACCGTTTGTTTATAGATATTAGCCAGGCAGATAGATAAGCGTGTACCTTAAAATGGTTCAGTTGCAAAATGATATTCCGAGTAGCAACTGTGTTTAGTAAACTTTTGAATAAGTATCACTCCTAGATGCACATTGACTGTTAAAAAAAGGCGGAAATCGTTTCAAAATTGAAAAATGGTGAAAACTATATATACGTATCTGTATCTCTTTACGTTTGCCTGTAACGACTTCCGGGTATAACGACGAAATTATACTGGTCCCTTCGTCCGGAATCCACTGTATTAGACTAGCTTCTACTAACGCGACGACGTGAACCGTATGGTCCAAGCCTTTTTCTGTGTTCTCAATAAATATTAAACAATTTCCTTTTAATGCATATTTAATTAGTAGCCTAAGTGTATTCGTATCTTGAACATGACTTTTAATTTGACGACAATTTAATTATAATTCTATTTCTTCATTCTTTCCCAGATCTGATTAGATTTTATCAGGTAACTGTTTGGATCTTATAACACCATAAATAAAGAGACAGACGTTTATATAATGACAAATATTCGATATTAATATTTACACTTACGTGAAATTCAATAGAACTGAATCAAATTGATTTATGGATTATCAGCTTGGGGTTTCCTGAATTTTATTTAATGCATAATTCGTCATGCGAAATCAGAGTAATTGTTTTCGTGTTGACAGTTCGTAATCCCACATTCTGATTAAAAATAATGGTCACAGATGTTTGTGTTTTCTTATTTAAATGAAAGGAACAAGACCATACTGCGATTATTATATGCTAATTTTTTCAGTATATTTGATAACTTTGAAGGCACGATGAAATCTTTGATAAAAAACCATAGAATATTTTTAAACCCTTAGAGAAGTACTTCACAAAGTTAAATACCAAACGAAAGTTTTTATGTCATTTTCAGACATGCCATTTTACTCATTTAAAATAACAGTAATAACTATCGATTGTGGAGAATAACCATGCTGGTCGATTTATCGGTTAAATTTCCAGGAATCGGTTACACAACGAGAACAGAACAGAACTTTATGGAATAATAATAAATCGCAAACGAATACAATTCGCATTGCTTTTTTCTTTAAAACGATCGTGATCGGTATTGTGTTTGTTATGTAATGTCTTACAATACTTAATTGTTGCCAACATTGCCGTCATTAATATCGAACTAAAGGGAAATACTATATATTATACACCGCCTATTACTACGTTCTGCTTAAATTAAGTAGTAATTTATCGTGCAAATTTTTCTCACAGAGCGCCAAAGAAAATATCTATCCAACTTTAAAAATTGGGTCACTATGACTTGCCCCATATAAATAATAAAAGTTACAGGGGGGGACATATCTGGGGAATACGGTGGCTGTGGCATTACTAGTGTGATGTATTTTGACAAAAATTCGTGCACAAGCAACGATGTGTGAGTAGGGGCGTTATCATGGTGTAAAAACCAAGTTTTGTTCTTCCACAAATCCGGGCGTTTCTAGCGAATTGCTTCGCGCAAATTGCGCATAACTTGCAGGTAATATTCCTTATTGACTGTTCTACCCTGTGGCAAGAACTCATGATGCCCCACGCAGTCGAATAAAACTGTAAGCAAAATATTTACATTTAACACAACTTGGTGCGCCTTTCTCGGTCTTAGCTCGTACGACAGGTTTCATTGGGATAATTAAGCTTTGGTTTCCACTTCATAACCATAAACCCATGATTCGTCACCAACTATGACCCCCTGGAGCAAATTTGGGTCGTCGCGGACAGAGTCCAGCAAGCTCCTTAGCAATGTTAATGCGATGCTGTTTTTGTTCGAAATTGAGCAATTTTGGTACGAATTTCGCGGAGACCCGTCTTATGACCAAATCATTGGTAAAAATCGAATGGCAGGAACCAATCGATATGTTTAGGTCCTCAGAAACTTTTCTAACGGCGATTCGACGATTGGCTAATACTATTTTCTTCACTTCATCAATGTTTTCGTCTGTTGACGTGCTCGGGCGTCCGGCACGCTCTTCGTCGTTCCATCTTCTCTACCCTCTGAGAACATTTTGTACCTCCCATAAACGTTGCTTCGGTGCAAGGTAGCTTTACAATATGTCACAGTTAATATTTGGAATGCGTCCACGCACTTAATTTTGTTTTTCAAAGAAAATTTAATACAGATTCTTTGATCCATTTTTTGGAATATGCAAAAATCGGAGACGAGCCAAAACACGTGCAGATTTCAGTTTCACAAACGACCAACTTAAATTTTGGTTAACGCCATTCAGAAAATGTGAAAGTAGTTATCAGCAATCGGATGGAAAATTCTATATCACACGCTAAATACTGTAATACTTACCTATTACGCTGCGTTTTAGCTGCTCTTGAAGCAGTCACTCCACAATATTTTATACAAAATAATAAGTGTTGGGATTTCCGAAACCAAGATCCACTCTTTTGCATATGGAATGAGTTCACAATTTATCTAAAAGATTATAGTAATCTACTAGAATAATGACTTGTACTTATTAATTTTTGTGACAAACTGTAGATTAGAAATTAAGTTGTTCCACTTTTCAAATTCCATTTTATTAGAATGAATTTCAGGTCATTTTTGAGCCGAGTGATTCTCTTCGAAAGACATGAAAAAGAATGCGAGAAGCAACACGCACCATTGTTCTTCGCTTATAAATTTCCTGAAAACAATGAAAACCTTTGAACTAACCCGCGACACACGACTTGGAAATGGCAGTTTCGATGATAAGGCCAAATTGTATCGGCATAATTACTTGCCACGAACAATTTCTCTTGCGGCCCCAACAAAAATTGACGTGGAGTAGGCTATCAATATACTTCGATAAAAATCGGTATCGAGAACAATGACGGACTATAATTATGTAGAAAACAAAGGCATATTAAATCGTATCGAAAATAAGTCATTATATAGCTAAACTGTAATTTGGAGTATGACCGTCTCAATTCACTGACGCATTATTATCTCTCTAACAAAATGTTAGAAATTAGCGAAATGGCATCTTCACTTCATTTATTTCTCGTTACAAAAGGACGACGTCAATAATTTAAAAGTTTTCCGAAATTATTTTTGGAGAAAGTTATTTAAATGGATCGTTTCGAAAAGCAAAGTTCTGGTCTTCAGTGTAAGACAGTATTGTTTTCGGTACTAATATTGGTAAGGTAGATAATATAGAGTGTCTCTTTTTATTACGAATGTTTTACTAATTACATTTCTTATTATTTCTGGTCTAATTATGAGCCCAAAGGTGTAAATTACATAAGATTCCTTTGGTTACTTCATTTTCAAAGTATTTTAAAACTTTTACAATTTTTTTCAGATTGCGCTCCCAATGGCACCGGGGCTGCATTTTGAAGTCTACAGTGTTTACCTGTTTGCTCATTCACCGCAAAGCTCTATCTCAGCAAAGGTAAGAAGTAGCAAGTTGAAATTTTTATATTGTGTGTTGCTGTGGCATAAGTGTTGGCAGACAGGAAAAATTAAAAGTCCGAGTAATATTTACATGTACTCTGCAGTTAGACCACAATTTATATATTTTTTTTCTATCCAATGTCCGATTATGAAAATTTCATGCGAAATTCTTTTACTACCGCTGCCCTGCAATAATTTGTAGTGCAAACGTAATAGACTCGACTGCATTTGCTTTAGACATCCTAAAAGCTTTTCTTACTTTTTTTTCTGTAGAAACTTCTGATACCTCTACTGAAACCATCTATACCAATTACTCCTATACTGTGCAACCCAAACAATAATAATTCACTTCGTTTGGTTACCTTATGAAAGGATAGTGCAAAGGTTCTTCGATATTATTTATAGATACGCTCTTTGTGTGGTTATCATGCCATTTAAGGGAATCGGTTTTGTAATGTGGGACTACCCATTCATTCGGGTCGATAAATCTAATTCTTTCCCATAAGGATTCCTGGGAACATGCCATCGATCATACAGTTTTCCGTCACCCTGCAAATGATCTAAACGGGTCCTGCGCGCATAAATAATGCCAAATCTCGTACCCGCAACAAACGCAGCGTCTTTGCTAAAATTAATAACCAAAGCTTGAGCAATACTAGCATAAATAACAAATCCCCGGACGTGCAAAACGTGTGTCTTTATAAATTACCTTCGCCGCATCCCGACTGAGTCTGATGCTAGCTTATAAGCTGATCATCTCTAAATTCAAACACGTGTTCGCGCATCGTATCGCATCGCATCGCTTAGGATACAAATTTCCTTTACATGGATTACAGGCGAAACTTGGACTAATGCGACTGTCCTCAACGGATTATTTATAGTTAGCTCATATTCAAATTGAAAGAAAAAGTAAAACGCAGGTGTCCTCAACTGTGAGCTTTATGATACGATTATCTTAAATCGGATCTTTTTGATTAAGTACATCAGGAAACGTTGGTTTCCTGTTAATTATCAATGAAAATGCTCTTAATTTAAAGAACAGAAATTAATAAGTCGTACTTTACTTTTTGTATATAGATTTTAACTTTATCTTTCTTTTTAAAACAATAATTAATACTGTTACTTTCTAAATTTCTCATTTACATAAAATAGATGATTAAAGCTTGGCTTTAAAATCACCTTCTGGTGGATCTGTAATTAAATTATAATCGTGGGTATAGGTGTATAATTCTTCGGCTTACAGATTTGAAAAATTTGTTTTTCATAGTAGATTATNTCCCGAGATAAAAATGTTCAGTCTCTCAGAGTCTCTGAAAGCGAGACTCGAGTCTCCGTCTCTCATCGAGTCTCTGTGGTGTCGCTGAGAGAGACTATCAAACAAACTGTTTAGCGTCTCTGAACGAGAGACTCGAGTCGCTCATAGAGAGATCCTCATCTCGTATCCAATCTCTGAACGAGAGACTCAAATCTCTAAACGAGAGACTCAAATCTCTGAACGAGAGACTGGAATCTGTGAATTAACAATTTTATCGTTCGAGTCTCTCATACAGAGACTGTGAGATACCCATAAAAACACCTAGGCAATAACTGAGAGACTGTGGAAGACTGTGAGAGACGCTCTCAGAGAGGCTGAAAAACTCTGAGAGACTGGAGAGAGCCTGAAAATTTATGTCTAGGGTACCACCAAAGAATTTTTGGATTTATTTTCCTAAAATAATGACCAATATTATTCCTTTCTATTCTTTGATAACATAGATATTATTTCACTAGTATTTCATCGCTGTAAATATTACATCCGCATTAAGCCTTTACACCCACAATATAAATGACGAGTCTAATTAACCAATAAGGACTCTCTTATATCCTTCGCTGTTTACAGATTTTGTTTGGATGATTGCTGACTTCATACAGATCTAAAGTACTCGATGAGAAGATACTGTAGAAAAAAATACAGTTCCTTAAAAATCAAATGTTTGTAACTGAAACTATCAGATAATCCCAAATTATTTCATGCCCGTAATCGTATTTGAATCCGGTATAATATTATTCATATATCCATATCCATATCCAGATCCGAAATTTCATATCCATAGTATCCCTGGCTTTGGTGAATTAATTTTTGAATTGATTTTACCCACTACAGATAACTTAAAATTAATGAGGATAAAATTGTTGCTGCTGACCTTGTGGCTTAGTCTTGGCTTCTTCTTGCTTAGTGGTAGTATACTGGTGCGTAAAAACAAGAGCCTAGGTTCAATTCCAGGTAAGAGAGCAACAATTATTTCTCATTAATTTGAGGTAATCTGCAGTGGGTAAAATCAATTCCAAAATTAATTCACGAATACATTAAAATAACGCTACAAAAATTCAAATTATCTCACCCCTGTTTTTCACAGTTGGTCAAAGTAAATGTAGCGAAGTTTTCCGGACTTAAAAGTCGTAATAAATTGGAATTACTACCTGACGTTAACATTGTCCAGAGATACGAAAGATAACTTTATCGTTTTTGATAATGTTCGATGGGTCACAGCTTTAAGGCCCGGAAAACTTCGCTAATACATTTATCCCTGGTAATAATTATTTATTTACTAAATTTCTATCTGGTCAGAAGTTGTCTGTTTGTTATTTATTTATCAGACTACTGGGTGTATGTATGTCAGTGGTGGCTGCATTTTATATAATATGCAAATGCAGTTTGCAAGATGCAGACGACAATCCGCGATAATACTGTAACAAACGCACGTCATCGATCAACGCGCCTGGGACCGAGCAGCGAGCACTCTAGTTCCGTGACTATGTTGTAATCGTAAACAGTGAACAACTCGATCAACTGACACTTTCCCTTACCACGGCTACAAACGACGACACTTACAACAACCAGACTGCTATTATTATAACAAGGGAATTCGAATAAAAAAAGTGGGTGTGATTTTGCACTGATTCAATCTGTGTTGTCTTTGAAAATTATGTTCTATTAATGGACATTTGTTGACCGCCAATAAGGACTTATGAGATAAAAAATGCAAGATGTAATGAATATAAATGAGATTATTTTAACGCCGTGACTATTGAAAGGTACCAACTTACGCCTACGTGCGGACAGACGGTGAACTTGAATGCACCACGCGCCCTAAGATAGTAAAAACAGTATTTCAGTTTAGAAAACAATACCGCTGTTATAACACCCAAGTATGTTATATGCCTTGTTTGCATGTATTATCTGTATGCAAAATCTTGCATACCTCACCATTACTACTATTAGATTTATCAATTAACAGCTTTTGTATTGTTGTTTTCCTTATTCTTAGTGGTTTGTTATTTTTTATTCGATCGCTTTACATAAAAGGGTGTTTTAAAAGAGAATTAACATAAACCATTTTTACAAGCTTATGTCATTCCTAATGAGGCTACGGGCACACTGGGACTGTTTTATCGTCCAATAGTTTAGTAAGTCATGTGAAGTCAATAGTAATATACGAATACGCGTGTATTAACCAACACAACAATCCACAAACTTTTCAGTTGTTTTGTCCGACAGAACAGTTGAGTTTATAATTTTGTAATTTTAAAATAATGGAGGGGTTTTTAAAGAGAAACCAGACTAAAACAAGTCCCTGAAAGAGGGCAGCAACTATTTCAGTAGGTACTCAGGGTGCCAGAGATCACAACGATCGATATGGCACTCTGATGCACAATCCTGCGATGCGGAAGGCAACGGGAAACCACTACATTATGATATCCCAAATAAAACTTACCGAAACTAAATGATGCCGTCCTCTGGGGTAAAGCACTCCGGACGTAAACTAGTCCCCCCGGATGTCCGAGCGGGGACTACTTCGAGGGATGTCATCAATAAGTACAATAGGGTTAGGTGCAAGATATCACGAGTCGGAGCGTGGAATGTTAGGACAATGAGGCAAGTAGGAAAATTGAAAAATTTGATTGTATGAAAATAAGTAAAAGTAAAACACAAATACTAGTTAGCAAGGGAAGAAAAAGGACGGAAAGAGCGAATATAAAGATAGGAGACGAAAAATTAGAAGAAGTGACTGATTTTAGGTATCTAGAATAAGTCAGGACGGAAGGAGTAGTAAGGACATAAAGCAGAGGATAGCGCAGGGTCGAGTCTCCTTCAATAAAGTCATTTCTATGCTCGATAACGGTTAGTTTACAAATTCGAAAAAAAATGTTAAACATAGACGGTGGACGCCGCGGAAAAGATAAGGCTAGAATCGTTCAAAATGTGGTGTTACCAACGAATGATTTGGATACAGTGGACTCTATGGAAGTCACTAAAAAATAAGCGAGATAGTTTGGTAGGACATCTTCTCACGCATGAAGGTCTAGTCAGAGTCATATTAGAGGCAGAAACAGGAGTTAGGAGGAGTAAAACCTAGATTAGATTTCTGTTCGCAAATAGTTAAGAATGTGGGATGTTCTAGTTTTAGGGAAATGCGAAGGTTAGCTCAGGTTAGGAAAGAGTAGAGGTGCGTCTCCAAACAGTCTTAGGACTGACGACCTTATGATGATGATAATAACGATCTGCAATCATGAATGGAGAAGCAGATTTTACCAAAAAGCTGAAAGTAAAGCAGCTTTGTACGAGAAAAGTAAAACAAAAATACAGTGATTGTAATGCGAAGGAGCTTGCCGCACTAATTCTGTGGTTGTTAATCATGATGTAATTGATTAAATTGACTCCGTAGTAATCATTGACTGATTATTAGATGAATCCAATCTGTTCTATTCTTCATGCTTTTTTCTGTCTCTACCAAATCCATTTTAACGTTGTTTCAGATGCAGATTATTTCCTTTTTAAACAGTTTAGTTTGTATGCGCGCAAAGTTGTGGGACTAAACAGTTTAGTTCGCTAATGCGTCCATAACCTACTAACACCGACCAAACTGCCGGTGAACAATTTAGTTGTAGTGCGTGCATAGCCTAAGACTTTTGTAACTAAATGTACCCACCTATTTTCTTTGCCTAA